ATATTAACATGTCATACAACTTAGATGCATTTCTAATATATGATTTCAACAAAAAATTGATGATATTTCTTTTTATCTTTGTTGAAAATAATGAAAGAGTTCAAATCAATAGATTTCAGTTAATGCTTCGCCTATAGAAATTATTTTGCGCTGATTCTCTTGTATTAGTTTCGAAGAATTGACATTCTAGGGACAATTTAATCGACATTGGCAATAGTTAGTTTGCTTGAAAGCCGTTTTTAACGGAAATCGAATCGATGTAGAAAATAGGAATCGTGTCTGGACAACGTTTCATGTCAGCACATGATTTTTCCTTCTTTTGTTTCTTTTCTTTAATCTTGCTGATTCTGTAAAAGCAGCTAAAATTCTTTTTTCCCCAGCATTTTTTAACAGTTTAAAAGGAAAAAAAATTCACATTCACTTTTCTCAATAATCTAGTTACAGCAAAAGAGCATTATCTAAAGAAAAAAAAAATAGATAAACAGGTTGAGATATATTTACACAATTTGCAGGCGTAAAAAATAATAAATGATTGTATAAATAAAAAAAAAGTAATAAATAACAGTAAAACTCACAAATACATTGTACGAAAAGGATAACTTTTGCATTTAATTATAATTTAATAAACTATTTTTTTCCTCTTTTAATAATTGCAATTGTTCACTTTTGTCATCAGTTTAATATATATACATTTCTTTTTCCTTCTGGTTCATTCAATTTTCTTAATTTAAGCTTACAGAATGGCAAAGAAGAAGAAGAAAAAAAATATATCATAAAGAGAAATACAGAAATGAATTCGTTTCTCATTTGACTTAAAGCAGATTTCTTTGTATGGTTGACATGACATCAACCACGCACTGCTATGCATCTGAAGATATAAATAGAGACACTGATGCAGAAATTCTTTTGGGAGACAGACTCACCTTCTCTGTATTTATTTGTAGAAATATTTTTTCGCATGTTAATTTTTTAGTTTCTAAACTTTCACTTTTCCAAAAAAATAAAGCTTTATCTTTATAATAAAGCTATTGTTAACATGATTTAGGTTTCATTAATAAAAATAACTTTATGTCTTCCTTTTCTTATAATACTTTTCCATCGACTAATCTTTTAATAAGTCATTTAAAATTTTTAAAAGCCATTTTCGATTTTCAGAAGGTTGAAAAAAAATGGGATATTTATATGCTAACCGCACTCTCCTATTTAGAATTTAATTGAATTTTTCGAGAAAAAAGTAAATCCCGGATGTAAAAATATACATAAGTTACGAAAAAATATGATAAAATTATTATGTAATGCCATAAAATTTTTCTCTTTTTTTTTTTGGTATGCAAATTTTTATATTTAAAAGTTTGGTTACTGTTACAAAATATGAATATTACGGAGAAAAGAATACGTCGGTAAATAATCCATTCTGTAATTATTCTTCTAATTATTCAATTTTTAGTAATTTGATATTTTATTAAGAATAAATGCAATAATTATATGCAGTAAATGCGGATAATTTCCAGCATTGTGATGAAAAAGAGGAAGTTCTGTTTTAAATTACTTTTCTGTAATTCTAAGATAATTTATAAATGGCGATATATTCTCGATACTAAATAACCAATTTATAAACTCGATTTTTAAATCATCCTACTACTGACTATTTTCCTATACCGTATTATGGATTAATATTATTTATTTTTTATATTTAAGTGAATGTAAAACACTACTTATAGTTGTTTTTTTTATATAAAAATCCAAATTTTTGGTATTAAACACTGTAAATGTATGAAAAATTTCGTGTAAGAGTAATGAGATAAAGAGAAATTCGACATTGAAATCTTTTTCCCAGATTTTCTCTAACTATTCTTTATTTAAATCTGATGGATGAAGGAAGTAACAATATTACTTCTTATTCATCACCGCAAATTCTATCAAGCCATATATTTTCTTATTTTAAATATCTACTTTTTCCATTTGTACTGTACATTATCATTAGGGGAAAAAAATAATAAATTAAATAAGAATGGCTTGATATGATTTATTTTGGTGAATAAGCGATAATATCATTGACAAATCCTCCATTCAATATAATAAAGGAACTACTGTATATTAAAGAAAACTCTCTTTGACATTAAACAGTCAATCGATAGTGCACATTTGACATAGGTTTCTACGGAAGCGTTATAAAAAGCGTTATATTATTATATGTATAATTTATAAATACGTAAGTTTAAAATTACATCTTTCTAGATATTTTGATAAATACGAAATTAAATTACATCCGAGATAAATATGAAAAATTTCACTAATCATTTTATATTGAAAATTCTTGAAACATTGCATTTGGTTCTTTGCACAATTTTTAACGAATGAAAAATTGTTTGACGGTCTCACACAATCAATTTTCTTTGTAAATACGCCTGTCTTGCAATCCCGATTGCTTTCACTTCCAAATACATTTAAACAAGGAAAATAGACAGACATCATAAAAACCTGGCCGTGAGAACATGAAAAATTTGGATAAAAATAAAAATAATAATAGAACGCTTTCCTCTATAATGGAATTTTCCTCATAATCATAATGGAATACGTTTAAGGCAAATATAAAATGTAGATTTATCTTAACGTGTGTATAATGGATGTTTGTTTTCCAAAATATAATTCTTTTTTGTTTTATTCTAATCATAATTTTTGGATTAATTAGGGTAATTCAATAAAAAAGAATTTAAATTGGAATGAGATATCAAGTTTTTGAATTATACATAAATTCTCTTTTAGTGAAAGAAATAAAATCATAATGGAGTATTATTGTAGATTTTCTTCCAATTTAATTATTGTTGAACTTTTGGTAAATAAACTACGATAGATTTTTTTTTTTGTTCTAACAGAAAGATGCAGTTTCACTTGTTTATTCTGATATTAATTAAACATAAATATGTGAATTTAGAAACTTTTTAGAAAAGAAAGCTTTCATTTTAATTAGTATAAAACTCCATTTTGTTTTAATATTATAACAAATAAACCTAATCTAACAGAAATTCTAACAATTATATAGGCTACTGTCGAACTTCTGAATAATGGCGACTGACGGGAATATAATAGAATAGCTGTTGTTTGAAGGAAATTTTGTACGTAATTTTGTAGAAAAATAAAAAAAAATCATGGAAAAATAGTCGTTATTTAGAGGTATTATGAGATGGCTGTTATTGAAGGTTCGGTATTAAGAAAAATTTTGTAAAATTAAGATAAATTTTCTAAACTACTTGTCATTTTTAAAATTTCTTATATATTTATTCATATTATTTCTATGCTTTTTCCAATTTGTAAACTAAAATAATGAGACTATTCGCTAGTTTATGGTGGATAATATTTTGATAAGATCTACATGAAATTATGATAAGTTTCAATTATGTTTCCTCATAGTTAGATGGTCTTTTGCAACTTTGGTATGCTAGGAAATTTAATATTGATCAATTTAATAACGAAAACGGTGTCATTACGATAAAATTTGACTCGATATCTAAATCAGATATATAACTAACTAACATTTCTAAGAACTGGCATTAATTGCGTTTGACGAGACAATAATCACTTCGGTAGTTTGCAACATTAATCAAACCATTAGTCAACTCCACCTGTCTAACAAGCAGGAAACTAACCATCTTTCAATGTTTGGCTGGCTTAATCCTCACCATGCAGAGAAACTGTTCCATTAGTTGATAAAAGGTCAGTCTACACTGCAACTCCATCTTTAATCATCCAACGTTCCATTGCTTCCATGTCTTAATTGCTAATATTATCAGTAATTTTTAACTGTCTTCCACCAAAGAAAAATATAGATTTTATAAATTAAGTCTGATTTTTTTAATAAAAAAAATGAAAAAAAAAACCTTCTTATTCGAAAATACAAAATTGATTTTTAAAAATATATATATTTAATAAAAGAATTGTGGAATTTACAAATTAAGATGACAAATTCCTGTTTAAAACACATAAAAATCATTTTAAAAAAATAAGAAGAGAGTTAAGAATCGAGAAGAACAAATTGACGAGATAATTAGCATGCCTTTCACCAATAAATTCTATAGAATTGTTACTTTCGAGAAGAACGAATTCGATTCACTTCTAAAATTACAATGTGCTATTTTAAAAATGATAAAACCTGTAATTATTTAATCACATATAATTACAGAGAGAGGAAGTATATATAACGTTTTCAGTATATCAAAGCTGTAACTTCACTATATATCCAGAGATTTATAGCTTAGAGACAGCATTTGGTGATCTTAAGAATGTAATCCTCTATCACTTACGGTTAATTGGTCTTCAATCTTTGGCTTGTGCAGTGTACTTTTAGCAATACGTTACTGTAATGACTCTGTAAAATTATCTGCTGTAAAAAAATAAGTTTTATTAAAGACGAAAATCGAAACCCTACTTTCTCCTCTCGTTAAAGAGATCGGTAATTATGGTGAATATTTTTGAACGATTTCTTCCACGATCTATATGAAAACTACAATGATTTTGAAAATTTTAAATTTAATGATTTTTAATACACCTGCACTTGTTTTGTATACATGAAGTTCTTTTTTTTAGTGATATCGAAATTAGATCAACTTCTTAATAAAAACAACTCTTTGGCTTATCTTATGATCCAGACTCATTGATAGTCTTATCAGAAACTGCAACTCTGTCAACTTATCTTCGATGACCAAAGTTCGGTCAGTTTGCCAGCTGCTAGGCTTATCTTCGATAAAGTAATGTCAATCAGAAATCGGATTTTGGCCATCTTCCTGGCCAATTTTTCTATAATAGATAAAAAGTCACAATAAAATAATTTTATTGAATGACAATTTAATATACAAATTTTGAAATTAATTTATATTTATTCGCTATTCTTTGAATATATAAGGATAACATAATTTATAAAAAAATTCCATTAAATAAGTTGATTTTTGAATGCAATATGTGGATTTAAAATTCTGATAATTACTTCATAATTCTGTTTTCAGGAAGAACTTCTCGAATCGGAAGATGAAGAGGAAGATCAAGAATGGACGGTGCCTCATAGAACTTTCGGAGGTTGGTATCATTTAAACTGGTCGCATACCGAAGTCAAACTGGAAATGGCCAGAGTATTGGAATTCTGGGTCAAAAAAGGCATAGATGGATTTTATTTTAAGCATCTGGAAGACCTACATGTGGACCAACCTGAGGACATCATTGGTTCCATTCGACAATGGAGAGAAATTTTGGATATGTGGGACGACAAACGAAGAATAATGATGGCTTCCATCGATTCGTTTCAAAATCTCGGAGGGATCGAAACTTCATTGGTACGGGCTATCCTTCCATATTTCGATCTTATTGATGTTTATCTGGAAGTAGATGGCAACAGAAGTCACCAGGTGATGAAGCAGGTGGAGGAAACCACCCAATGGAATGCACCTTGGATTCACTGGAATGTTGGCAACGTCGAATCCAGTCGTTTGTCTTCCACTCTAGATTCCAAATATACCTTGGCCAGTCTTGTTCTTCTCATGATGCTTCCTGGTTCTGTTTCAATTTTTTACGGAGACGAAATCGGATTACGAGATTCTGTAGAAGAAACAACTGGAAAGGTTAGTTTATCAGGAAAAAAAAATATTATTATTACTAAATATATTAATAAATTTTAGTCAATAAAATACTAATATCATTTTCAATAATTAATTAATTAATAAGAGAAGAATTACATCGAAATTAATGATGGAGATGCAAAAATTTCCAATTAATTCTCACAATCGGATTTTTACGCGAGATTTAATTCGTTTAAAACTCTAATTATTAATTAAATTATATTATAATAAAAAAACGCAATCTACTAATTAACTTCTTATCTAATTCATTCGTATTGGAGTTTATTTACAGTTCTAATTTCGATTTAAATATAATTTAATACACTGAAATTAAATCTTCGTTAGTTTACGTAATATTACCTTTACGTTCTTCCGTATTATATTCTTGAATAATTAATATTTTTCTTCATTTTTCTAGAATTTTTAATCGAATTAGAAAACAAAACTCCATGGTAATTTCTAAATTTTCATCATAGCAATTATTGAAATAAAATTTCTTAAAGTTATCATCATCAGTTGAGGATTTTATAATAAAAATCCATAAATATCCATTAGTTTAATGATAAAAAACTGAATTTCCAGTAAATTAAATGACATTATATTTTCATTGAACTGATTTATCGCATTTAGCGAAAATAAAAAAGAAAGTATTATATTTCCCAACCAGCCATAGCTGAATATTTGGATAATATCAGAGAAATGTCAATTTACTAAAAAGAAAGTTAGGAAATAGCCTACTGTAATATTCCTGCCACAGTTAGTCCTTTCATTGTTTGTATTAAGAGATTCTGTAGAAAGCTTTATTAAAAATTGCAAGATGGATCAATAACGTTGAAAAAGATAATTAATCATAATCGAGATTTTTGTAAAGATCAAACGAATGTTTTTATTTCTATGTAAACGCTATCTCAAGCTATTTTGTTTTTCAATCTTTTATCAAATTTATTTCCCTTAATTTTTCAATAGCATCAGAGATATCAATTTATATTTATTTATTAAATTTATTATTATTATACTACAGTTTATTTATTTATAGTAGATTGAAAGGGTTAGAAGTGGTAAAAAATATAAACTATATTTACAGTTACTATCTAATTTTTTATCATTAAATTAAATTAAATTATTGAAGACTTTTATCATATTTAGAGGCTGTTACAATAAAATGATTCGCTGTTTATAACGAATTTTTATATGCTAAAAAGAAAAAAAATTTATAATNATTTGGATATTGAATCTTAAAACTTAGACGAGGCTGATCCATACAAGAATTAACTATATATAATAAACAAAAAGTGGAAAATAAACCCTGATTCCAAATATCATCAAAAATGCAGATGTAAATTAAATTTGTCAGATCTCTTACGGAAGGGAAAAATTTCTTACTGCAAAACCATTTGAAATAAGATATATGGAATTGTTAAATTACGCCAATTATCAAAAATTAGATTCAACATAACATTTCAAAATAGTGAAAAGCTGAATATTTGACTTAGAAAAAGAGTGATTTTATTCAATATATTTGTATGTTATGCTCTTGCAAATGTGATTTGCTATGTAAATTTATTGAATACTTATTATTTTAAAATATTTTAATGTTTTACGAAATAAAAATTAGATAGCCATTTAATTAATATTTATTACGTAATTGTATTAGTTAAAAAGTTAAATAATATTTATTAATTACTCGTATAAACTATACAGTATACTACTATGGTACAAACGTAAACTTGGCACGTTTTAAAAACTGCAAATTAAAACAAATAAAGGCTATAAAATATACATTTTATTTTATTGAAAATGTATTGTTATTTACATAATTTAATCACATTATAATGAATATATATTGTGTACGAAACACGACCTACCTGCATTGTCTACACATTTTGTTGACAGATGGTGCAGGCAAATGTGACTGACATGTACTGTACAGTGCACGGCAAATACAACTATATCAGTAAAAGTATGGCACATTCATTTCTTTATATTTTGTTTTCCTAATCAGATTTTAGTGGCATTAAATCCAAATAATTGTATAGATTAAATATTTGCATTATCTATAATTTTAAGGTCGTAACTTTTATAATAGGATATTTTAAGTATAAATGTAAGACGTAAGATACGGGGCAACCATTAAAAAAAGAATGCTAAAACTTCATTTTTCTAATTTTAAAATTAGTAAATAAAAATTTTAACACAGACTTTTTTTAATTACAAAATTGACTATTGATATTTTATCGATTGACCTGAGATGAAATGAAATAGTAGGAATTAGAATATTTGAATTAAACTATAAAATTATTATGGGAAATTAATGTATTAAACATTTGAATAAAAATCAATTTTAAATTTATTTTCGGAAATGTATGCCAGACAAAGAAAATTTTGTTTTTTATTTTATTTGTAGAAGCAACATACGGAGATCTTTCCTTAAAGTTGCGATGTTTTGCACTTTGACTTTAATGCATTCTGAAAACAAGTTGACAGTTTTATAACGTCAAGTAGAATCTCATTATTAACGTCTTTATATAACACAAATTCCCCTGAAGTAGGTTTGTAAAATATAAAGATTAAATTTGAAATTTAAGAAATCGGCTTAATTGTAAATTTAATACTTGAAGCCATTATATAGTATATTCATTAAAGAATTGTTGCAATTATCAATAGAAATATAACAAATTTATCAATAATATAAAACAAGATTTCGAAAATTAATGTTTCTATAGTTATTTATATATAAATATTTTTAATTTGGAATTTAAAAATACACAAAAATGACTTTTCTTTATGCAAATAATTCACAAAGAAATAGTTTTTGCTTATCTAGCAAATTGAAACCGGCTGACGATTGGTTTATTTTTATCAAAATTTTTATGATCTTCGACCAAGTTTTGCAGAACGTTATCCCCGAATACATCAAAAATAAGAAAGTCGTAATCTCACGCAAATTATCTCCTTTTATGTCTATAACATGAAAAACTATCTACAGATAGACCGTGTATAAGATGGACGGTGCCTCATAGAACTTTCGGAGGTTGGTATCATTTAAACTGGTCGCATACCGAAGTCAAACTGGAAATGGCCAGAGTATTGGAATTCTGGGTCAAAAAAGGCATAGATGGATTTTATTTTAAGCATCTGGAAGACCTACATGTGGACCAACCTGAGGACATCATTGGTTCCATTCGACAATGGAGAGAAATTTTGGATATGTGGGACGACAAACGAAGAATAATGATGGCTTCCATCGATTCGTTTCAAAATCTCGGAGGGATCGAAACTTCATTGGTACGGGCTATCCTTCCATATTTCGATCTTATTGATGTTTATCTGGAAGTAGATGGCAACAGAAGTCACCAGGTGATGAAGCAGGTGGAGGAAACCACCCAATGGAATGCACCTTGGATTCACTGGAATGTTGGCAACGTCGAATCCAGTCGTTTGTCTTCCACTCTAGATTCCAAATATACCTTGGCCAGTCTTGTTCTTCTCATGATGCTTCCTGGTTCTGTTTCAATTTTTTACGGAGACGAAATCGGATTACGAGATTCTGTAGAAGAAACAACTGGAAAGGTTAGTTTATCAGGAAAAAAAAATATTATTATTACTAAATATATTAATAAATTTTAGTCAATAAAATACTAATATCATTTTCAANAAAAGAAACAATAAACCGTGAGGTAAAAATGAAACTTTGTAATCTTGATTTTGATGTCTTTATCGAAAACAAAGACGAAAAAATGAATTTTATTATCTTTGTTTCTTATCTATATTTCGTGGTCGGTTTTATCACCTTGCGGTTGTAAGACATGGCGATTTACTTTCTATTTTCTGTCGCTCCAGGCACAAATATTGCTACTGAAGTTATCAAACAAGAAATTTAATATTATTTATTTTAACTTTTAATAAACTTAGTTATGAATTAATAAAGTATAAACTTTATTACAAATTAGAAAAAGTTTTTAATTAAAATTAATTTTCTTTCTGCCATCTTTCTCGGTATTTCTTGTGATGAAACGATACAATCAAGACTTAACAATTTTTTAAAAAGAGATACGAATTTAAAAATTAAACTCCCTATTTATAATTTTAGAAAAATACGTAACGTTATTATTTCTGTATTTGGCATTATATAATTAACTATTTCACGCATAAAATATTTTTCATAAAATACAAAAAAAAATAAAATAAAAAAAATGCGTTATAATTTTCGAGAGTTGCAGCTGCGGCATACCATTAAGATAATGGAACATTACTGAGATAATTAAATAACGTCGCCTGTTGTTGTAAACACGTATATTATTCTATATAAAAGTTGATATTTTTTACCAGAAATATTTTAATATTATTTCTTATATTTTAACACTTTCTAATCGAAAATTATGCTATATTAAACTGTCGTAACATCCGAAACCAATACTTTGTTCCATTATCATTATCAACAAGTTTCCCGTTTGTAATTCGATATTGCATCTATAAAGCACAATAGGCATTTTCTTAAAGCGATCTTCTCGAAGGACGATCTCCTTCACGATTGATGATTTAACGACCAGTAGTCGATGGAACTTATAACGATTGTTATGCCATTTATTTTGTGCGCTATTATTATCCCAACAGTTCTATGTCGATGGCAGACTTCGTCCGTCTTCACTGCCCAGAAATATCGATGTCTTTAATCTATCGTTAATTAAGTTGTCCACTTCAACGGGGTCGAATTAACTGCAGTATATCATTTCTATAACCTCTTTCATTACATCTGAAAATATGTCCGCGTTAATATTCTTTATTCTCTTTTTATATGAGTTAGACTAAATTATGTAAGTTTTACGAGTTTTATTCACTCTAGAGTAATTTTTATTAAAATAATAGAAGCTTTCTTGAAACTTTTTAAGAAAGTAAAAGTAAAAACGTTGAAAAAAATTTCGAAAAAGGAAAAAGAGCTCGTCTAGATGCATTGAGAGAATTCAAAGGTTTCGACACTTTGAACAACACTTTCCTTGAAAAGAGACGACGAACAGAAAAAAAAAGCAATGAAAGACCAAACTGTCAATAGACCATTTTGAAAATCGTTACTAAAGTTAAAAAGTAAAAACAAACACCGAAAAAAATAACGTAGAAGAGGTAACACGGCTTAATGCTAAAAACATGCTTTTTTACCATACGCAATATATTATGTCTTATTTATTTATACTTTTAAAACTTTATTTTGGTTTTTAAAAGTTGTTAAAAATGATCATTACTGATTTTGGATGATAAAAAAAAAATCTTTAAGTACAAATGGAGTATATTTTCGAACGATTTCCAGATATTCCTATTATAAAATCTAATGTAAAAAAGACAATAGTAAATCGATGTAAATGATGAAATTGTACAATAACTGAAAGAGTATAATTTAAAAATACTTTGTAGTACATCAATGCTATATTTCAATGATATCGAATTATCTATAAATACATTTTGTGTAATGTATGGAATGGGAATTTATAATGTATAACGCTTAGAGAAAATTGTTTTTCGATTATATTTTTTATTTATTTTATTTTTAGATATTCTTTCCATCTGCGACTTTGAAGTGATATTTGACATAAGTATCTAAAATTTATAGCGACACATTTTCACGTTGTAGCAAAAAAGAATATTTTACATTTTTCTCTTTCGTAAAATCTATAATATTCCAATGGAGTTTCTCTAAAGAGAAGCAAATAAATTCATTTACAATCCCATAATAATTTTTACATACGAAATAGCAATAACAGCAAAATAAGTAATAAAAAATTTATTTTATTTAGTTTTCTTTAAAGCAATATAAAATATTTATGCAAATTTCCTTGTATATGCAAAACAAATAGTGTTATGCGAAAAAGACAAACAAGAGAGAAGAATGTTCGGTACTCTAATCCTGTGACCCAAAATTGTAGAGTGCCCGGGCCAAAACCTGTGTAATGAATTATAAACAAAGTCTACAGAATCAATGTACGTAATTTCAAGCGTATGAAGGAGGGGTAAAATGTAATAAATTTAGAGTATCATGTCGGAACAAGCGATAGGATAGCCTGGGAGTCTTTTGCCTCAAGGCACTTAATCGCTTCTCGGGATCCTAGACTTCAGTTTCTGTTAATATATAAATTTGACAGGAATATACTGTACGCTCTTTTTCCGGTTGCAATGCATCTTGTAGGAAACACGATCCAATCGAAGAAAAAATGATTACAGTATGTTACAAATTATATCAATTTTTCTTTGGTCAACACGTTTGGAGATGACGTTTTTCCTATGTCATTATCGTGGGTAAACTCAGAAATACCTCTAATTAAACCAAAACCATAATCACAAAGATAACTTTCAGACATTATATTCTGCGAAACGAGTTTAGAGGTGAGGTGTAAAGTTTCTTCATACTACATCATGAATTTTGATTATCTGCAAATTAATTTAGCCTGCCTAATAATATGCTTTAAATTCAATTGTTTACTATCATTAGATTAAAATAAATATTAGAATAGAAATGAATTGTTTATTTTATTATACAAAAAATATTTTTGTTTCCCGTAATTATTTCATGTAATTTCTTTTACGTCTCTACTAAAATATTCTGTAAATTTTATTTTCTACGGCATTGTTTTGCATTTTTATCACTAGTAAAAATTGTTTTAGATAGCGCAAAAAATATTAAAAGTCGAGTTTCGTAAATCTCACGAGAATCATTTTGGATGTTGGAAAATGCAAATAAGTATAAAGTACATTAAATAATTTTTCAGAAAATATTTTTATGTTCTATTAAATCTATTGAAACTTGCTTTGGTAACTTTAAAATCTGTATTATATTTATTTCTTTATTGATTTTTTTTTAATTTTGGAGCTTAAATCAAATTATTTTTATTGAAGCATTTGTTTTAACTGTATGAAAAATTTTATGGTAGAGATTCGGTCTATTTCTACAGAGACACATTTATTTTATTTCAGAATATCGTACTGATCTAAAATTTTCTGTAATGATCATTAACTGTTCGGTCATTGGATTTAATACGTTTAACATTTCCATTTGTTCATTCGTAAGTCGATCTAAGTACTAAATATATCAGTCGAACGATCAATGAACTTCAGTTCGAATTTTATTTTATTTTTCTATTGGGGTCTGATCAATATATAATATTTAGAAGATCGTTAAACGCATTTTGCTTCAATTGATAATTATAAGTGTCAAATGAAACAGCTATAAAAAATTTCACATCATATTTGACTTAAAATTGTTAGAATATTATAAGTTTAGTCGATAATCTCTAATTTAAAATTAAATTCTAATTAAATTGTTCACCATGGGTTAAGATTTTTAACATTGACTTTCTAATAATAATAAAAATATGCATTTGGATGGTTCAATTTTGCTAAAGGATATTGAATATAAGCAAAACCCCTGGTTCTACGGGTGTAGTAATCCAAAGGTATGTAGACATCAGTTATGGGACCATATTTAGCAAAAAGACTTCTTAATTCTTCAGGTCTGAATCAAAATAAGCAATTGTTTAGAAAACTTAAATAAGAACTTTAGATTAATGTATGATGGGAAAAAAATCAGCATTAATTTTGAAATTAAGAATTTTTAAATGCCCATTCATAAAATCTTTAATTGATATTGTTATAAAATGGATGTAATATGAAGAATAGCATTCAAAATCATTTACATGTATGTATATACAGAGCATCAAAGATAATTTACAATTTTTTGTGTTACACACTAAGACAAAACTAATATTTTTTAATGAAAATTGCAAAGTTATACAAAATAAATACATTATCTTCTAAGCAGAATTTACTAAATTTACTAGATAGAAAATATAATTGCTATGATAGTACACACTAATTCAAAGTAACTATTACTTGAGATTGTTTGGATTACTGAAGTTATATATGAATAAAAAACCAAATAGAACTACAGAACAAATTATTTAATAAATAAATATATAGTATATATATACATGCATATTTATTGATTAAATAATTTGTTCTGTAGCTCTATTGTACTATAGACTTGAATGTNTTCTAATTAAATTGTTGCTATATTAATTTGATTTAAAAAACTGATCTCATATCTCTCAATCTTCTTCGATACCTGCCACTAAAAAATGATGATAAATGCCTAAATAAATAAAAATATTGACTTAATTCCTCACGTCATAATATAGAAAATTATTACAGTCATGTTCTAGATGATTTAAACATTTCTTTTATCAGTTTCGGAAATGTTTCCTCCGCTTAAAATATTGTTTTAAATACATATCTAAATTATCATAGTATTTCTTTCACGGAGATCAAAGTAAAAGCTGGAATGTTTGAGCTGTAGACTTAATGAATCAATAAGAAAATCCTTAATGATGGCAGCTCCGGCTCTAACTTGTTGGATTATCTCTATTGAAAGACAACAATCTGTTTAGTCAGAATTAAGGAAGATTAGAAGATTTATTGGAAGATATGTTATCGTTATTGTCCTTTGTTTCCTATGAAGACAAACAATCCGATTTTATTTATTTCTATATCCCGTATTTTGCTTTTGAGCCATTTTTCTCTTGTTCAGG